CCTGTAATCCCAGCACTTTGGGAGGCCGAGGCGGGCAGATCACAAGGTCAGGAGATTGAGACCGTCCTGGCTAACACGGTGAAACCCCGTCTCTACTAAAACTACAAAAAATTAGCCGGGTGTGGTGGAGGGCGCCTGTAATTCCAACCACTTGGGAGGCTGAGGCAGGAGAATGGCGTGAACCCGGGAGGCGGAGCTTGCAGTGAGCCGAGCGCCACTGCACTCCAGCCTGGGTGACAGAGTGAGACTCTGTCTCAGAAAAAAAAAAAAAAAAAAAAAAAAAAAAGAAGTGGTATCACAGGATGATCTGACAAGAAAAGGGAATGAAGAATCCAGTAAGAGGTAACATTGGGTAAATCTAAGTAAACATTGATGGTTTAAAGCAATGATAACAATTCCTATGGGTCTTGAAAAGAAAAATAATAGCCAGGCACAGTGGCTCACACCTATAATCCCAGTACTTCGGAAGGCTGAAGCAGGAGAATTGCTTGAGCCTGGGAGGTCGAGGCTGCAGTGAGCCAAGATCATGCCACTGCACTCCAGCCTGGGTGACAGTGAGACTCTGTCTGAAACATCAGGGAAAAAAAGGAAAAATAAAGAATATTAAAATACATAATAATAAAATTTAACTTGGGACTGGAGTAAATAGTTAAATACTTCTCCGGTCCTTGTATTGTTCAGGAAGAGGGTAAAAATATTGATTAACTAGGCTTTGATAATTTAAATGTGAGTGTCATAATTAACAGGATGCCTTAGATTGGATTCTTTCAGAAGAAGTAGCTGAGACCAGGATTCACATGCAAGTAGTTTGTTTGAAGCTGCAGGAAATAAGGTGGGTGGGTGAGAAAGTGAGGCAGGGGAGGGAAGAAGTGCCACCCTCCCAGCTGCCTCGTCTCTTATCCTGTGGCCTATGTAGCAAGATTGTACTTAGAACTTAGCTATTAGATCCAGAGGATAAAGACAGGTTTTGAGGCTACACATGGTAGCTCATGCCTGTAATCCTAACACATTGGGAGGCCAAGGCAGGTGGATCACTCGAGCCCAGGAGTTGGAGACCAGCCTGGAAAACATGGTGAAACCTTGTCTCTACAAAAAAATAAAAAATTATCCAGGCATGGTGGCGGGTGCCTGTGGTCCTAGCTACTCAGGAGGCTGAGGTGAGAGGTTTGCTTGAGCTGAGGAGGCAGAGGTTGCAGTGAGCCAAGATCACATCACTGCACTCCAGCCTGGGTGACAGAGTGAGACCCTATCTCTTTTTTTTTTTTTTTTTTTTTTTGAGACGGAGTCTCGCTCTGTCGCCCAGGCTGGAGTGCAGTGGCTGGATCTCAGCTCACTGCAAGCTCCACCTCCCAGGTTTACGCCATTCTCCTGCCTCAGCCTCCCGAGTAGCTGGGACTACAGGCACCTGCCACCACACCCGGCTAGTTTTTTGTATTTTTAGTAGAGACGGGGTTTCACCATGTTAGCCAGGATGGTCTCGATCTCCTGACCTCATGATCCACCCGTCTCGGCCTCCCAAAGTGCTGGGATTACAGGCTTGAGCCACCGCGCCCGGCGAGACCCTATCTCAAGAAAAAAAAAAAAAAAAAAAGACAGTGTTTGTTAATCAAATTAGGTAATTATGCTGGGAGTTCCAGGATGACAAGTTTGTGGGTGTAAGAGGCCTGGTAAATCTCTGTTCAGGGTCTCCAGCAACCTATCAGGGACTCTCCCTGTCAGGCAGAGCCCTGACATCACCAACTTTAGTGCATCTTCAGGAGGAATTGGGGAAATCTGAGAAGTGCTCACCAAACATCAAACATTCTCCAGCTTGATAGCTCCTGGCATACTTTGCTGGGCCTGTTCCCTTTGCACTCATCACAGTAAATGGAAAACTCTCCAAAATTTGTATGTCAGAGAGAGATTTGTCGAAGCTGCAGTGCTGTCCTCCTTGGGGCTATGACCCTGCTGCAGTGCAAAGACTTTCATGAAAGTGTATAATTCTGTTGTTTGTTCAGCTATTATAAAAGTGTCTTTGGGCATGTACGTTATATGAAGGAGTCTAGTAAGACATTCAGATTTCAGAGATTTAAAAAATTTCCTGGCAAGGTGTGGTGGCTCATGCCTGTAATCCCAGCACTCTGGGAGGCCAAAGCAGGTGGATCACTTGAGTTCAGGAGTTCGAGACCAGCCTGGCCAAGATGGTGAAACCCCATGTCTCTGCTAAAATACAAAAATGAGTTGGGTGTGGTGGTATGCACCTGTAGTCCCAGCTACTTGGAAGGCTGAAGTGGGGAGAATGGCTTAAGCCTGGGAGGCGGAGGTTGCAGTGAACTATGATTGCACCACTGCACTCCAGCCTGGGCGACGGAGCAAAATCGTGTCTCAAAAAAAAAAAAAAAAAATCCTGATAGTAGCAATCTATTTAAAAACTTCAACTCTGGTGCATATTATAATCTTCTTCTGCACTGGTAGAAATCTGTTTTCTGAAAGGTATAACTATGTGTGAGATTTCTTTCTTAAACCAGAAGAAGATTTTTTTTTTTTTTGAGACGGAGTCTCGCTCTGTCGCCCAGGTTGGAGTGCAGTGGCGTGATCTCGGCTCACTGCAAGCTCTGCCTCTTGGGTTCACGCCATTCTCCTGCCTCAGCCTCCCAAGTAGCTGGGACTACAGGCGCCCGCCACCATGCCCGGATAATTATTTGTATTTTTAGTAGAGATGGGGTTTCACCGTGTTAGCCATTGTGGTCTTGATCTCCTGACTTCGTGGTCCTCCCGCCTCGGCCTCCCAAAGTGCTGGGATTACAGGTGTTAGCCACAGCTCCCGGCCAACTGTCACTTTCTTTAAGGCATAACAGTGTTGTAAATGCCATGATTTTGAATGTGCTGTACCATCAGGTGAGAATTACCATTTTCTTTAACATAGGTTGTGCTTGTTTGCTGATGGAAATGATCCAGAAGAGAAGGACAAGCTGATGGTTGAGAGGGTTGATGTCAGGCAAGAAACTTGAGTGGATGATGAGGAAAGTGTGAGGTTCAGTGGACTGGAGGTTTGCGGTGGTTTCATGACACATGGACTGGAGATTTGTAGTGGTTTTGTGACACAGCTCCCAAGTTCTTTGATATTCTTCCCATGGAGGGGTAGGGTCTGTGACCCCCCTCTTGAAACTGGGTAGGCTTGCAACTGCTTTGACCAATAGGCACAGCAGCAGTGATGCTGTAGGACTCCCAAGGTTAGACCAGAAAAGGCCATGCCTTCCCAGGATCCTCACTGTGATGGGAACCAGCCATCATGTAAGAAACTCTACCCTTGGCTGGGTGCGGTGACTCATGCCTCTAGTCCGAGCACTTTGGGAGACTGAGGTAGGCAGATCACTTGAGGTCAGGAGTTCAAGACCAGCCTGGCCAACATGGTGAAAACCCGCCTCTACTAAAAATACAAAAAAAAATGAGCTGGCATGCTGGCAGGCACCTATAATCCCAGCTACTCGGGAGGCTGAGGTAGGAGAATCACTTGAACCTGGGAGTTGGAGGTTGCAGTGAGCCAAGATCATGCCACTGCACTCCAACCTGGGTGACAGAGTGAGACTCTTGTCTCCAAAAAAAAAGAAAAAAGAGAAGAGAAACTACCCTGAGACCACCATGCAGGAGAGCCCAGTGGATATGCTGGTGACAGCCACAGCAGAGCTCCCAGCTCACACTCAGCATCCACTGCCAACCTTCTAAATGAACCATCTCAGACCTTGAGCCAGGCTCACCTCCAGCTGCAACCAAACCTCAAAAGAGACCTAGGCAACTACTTCTCATTGGAGTCCTTCCTGAATTTCTACCCCTAACACAAACAACTGTAAATAACAACTTAATTGTTTTAATTCACTAAATTTGAGGATAATTTGTTAGTAATAGTAATTGAAGCACATTTCTTATGGAGTTAAAAAAGAAAAAAGGCCAGATGCAGGGGCTCACACATATAATCCCTGCACTTCTGGAGGCTGAGGTGAGTGTATCGCTTGAGCTTGGGAGTTTGAGAGCAGGCTGAGCAACATGATGAAACCCTGTCTCTACAAAAAATACAAACATTAGCCAGGTGTGGTGGCATACACCTATAGTCCCAACTACTCTGAGGACTGAAGTGGGAGAATTGCTTGAATCCAGGAGGCAGAGGTTGCAGTGAGCTGAGATTGCACTACTACATTCCTGCATGGGTGACACAGCAAGACCCTGTCTCAAAAACAAACAAACAAACAAAATGTGGATGTTGTAGTAATGCCGCAAGAAAGAGACCAAGAGAAGTAGGAGGTAGTGATCAGACACCTGGATGCGTAAAAATCCAGATTCAGGAAATGGTGGCATTAGGACTTCACCATGGTGAAGGTAGAACTCTTAATTTTCATCTTTATTAAATGTCTGTTTGCAGTTTTAACCATTGGCATATTTATTTTGTGTTTGTGATTTCTGTGAAATATGAGTACAATAAAGACTGATAGTTTGCATTTGTTTTCTAATCTCTCAGAAAGTTGTCAGAAAATGTTCTCTGACAGGCCGGGCGCGGTGGCTCAAGCCTGTAATCCCAGCACTTTGGGAGGCCGAGACGGGCGGATCACGAGGTCAGGAGATCGAGACCATCCTGGCTAACACAGTGAAACCCCGTCTCTACTAAAAATACAAAAAACTAGCCGGGCGAGGTGGCGGGCGCCTGTAGTCCCAGCTACTCGGGAGGCTGAGGCAGGAGAATGGCGTGAACCCGGGAGGCGGAGCTTGCAGTGAGCTGAGATCCGGCCACTGCACTCCAGCCTGGGTGACAGAGCGAGACTCCGTCTCAAAAAAAAAAAAAAAAAAAGAAAATGTTCTCTGACTTTTTAGAATTGCTGTGGTCAGGATTGCGGAAACTATTGCAATTCCAACTCTCCCTTCTAAGTCCAATCAGTTTTGTGCTTTGTACTGTCTATGCCATTCATGCACCATAGAGGGAAGAAAATGTTAAAATGGTCATGACACAGCATCTTGATTTGTCGTTGAAGGAGAAGGAGAAGGAGTCTGGAAGGACGCTGACAACGGATGGTGGTCAGGAAGGAAAAACCGTGGCCCACAGGCCAGAGGAGGAGAGAACTTCAAGGAGGGATATTCAGCTTCCTGTGGACCCCCATTTGTTCATCCATACGATGATGCTCTGAGGAGCACAGGAGGAAGGTGTAAATTGGATAAAATGTACATGACGTAAGGAGCATAAACCCCTCAGGAAAGAGATGCTGCCTTTTCACTAACGTGTCCCTGAGCTGCACAGAGCAGCCCTGGGGGGACTGGGAGGCCATGGCCCCTGTGTGAGGAGCAGGGGAAAGGTGAGCCTCAAATGATCACCAGCAAACACCAGGGCCTGTGTCTGGGGCTTACACACGGCATGTGGTCCCCACAGCACCATTGCTCAGAGGAAGAATCCAAGATCTGGAGGGATTGTGTAATTTGCCCATGTTCAACAAGTTGGTGGCAAAATGAAGAGTGGCTCCCCTCTTTCGGACTTTAAGGCCGACGATCTTCCATCTGTGCTCTGGGGACAAGACTGAGGTCCACAGATAAAACTGGGGGTGGCATCCCCTGTCTCATGGTCTTTACACTCATGGGAGCTGGGAGTGACCATCTGATAAGAGGGAGGGAAGGAAGGGGAGAGGCTTGAGGAAGGTTATGGGGGTTAGGATCTAAGATGAAATTTGAGACTGTAAGACTTCGGGTCGGATGCTGTGGCTCGCACCTGTAATCTCAGCATCCTGGGAGGCCATTGCTTGGGTTTGGGCCCAGGAGTTTAAGACCAGCCTAGGTAACATAGACCCTGTTTTTACAAAACAACAACAACAACAAAAAACCAAACCAGCCAGGTATGGTAGTGTGTGCCTGTGGTCCTAGCTACTCAGAAGGCTGAGGCAGGGGAATTCCTTGAGGCCAGGAATTTGAGGCTACAGTGAGCTAAGGACACACCACTGCACTCCAGCCTGGGTGACAGAGTGAGACCCTGTCTCAAAAGAAAAAACAAAGATTTTAAGATTGCTGCAACTCCAGATGAAGGTAGATCCTGGAGGCACTTTGTGGGAGAGGTCACTACAGTTGAGTATCAAAGACTGTTGACAGATCAGAAGTCAAGGAACTGACTGACCAGGGCATCGGATGGGTCATTTATGTGGGTGTCCAGATTCACCAGTTTGGTGAAAAGACTCGGCATCAAAAGGAAATCTGGAAAGTTAGGGTCAAACTCTCTATGAAATCTGGGAAGAGATTTGAATTTTTATGGGAAAGGCAGGGAGTGGCTAATAGGCCCAGACTCCTTGAACCTCAGAAATGGGGAATGTTTTTAGTGCTTCTAAAATGGAAAAGACTGTTATGGCAAAGACCTGATGCCCCAGACTGGGTTAGAGACCATAAGCTCTCATTCATTCATTCATTCACATGTCTGCTAAGCACCTACTGTGTACCGGGCACCATGCTTGGAGCCTAGGGCTTCACAGAGAGATTGCAGCCTGTCTTCTCTCCAGCCAACCCAAGTCAAGAAGGCAAAAGCATAAACTGGTAGATGGCTTTTTTATTTTTATTTTTTTTGAGATGGGGTCTGTGCCCCCCAGGCTGGAGTACAGTGGTGTGATCTCAGCTCACTGCAACCTTCGCCTCCTGGGCTTGGCCAGTTTTTTGTATTTTTGGTAGAGACATGTTTCCAGCCTGGTTTCAAACTCTTGAGCTCTAGTTACCCACCCACCTTGGCCTCCCAAAGTGCTGGGATTACAGGTGTGAGCCACTGTGCCCAGCCAAGTAAATGCCATTCTTAGAAAAATACTGTCATTGGCATAAAATATAAATCATGACGGGGCACCAAGGAGTGCAGGCTCAATCAGGCCCTGGCCACAGGCCTCTCTCTGAGCTGGAATGGCAATACTTCCCTTCCCGACTGGCATGAGCTGCTTCTGCCATGTACTTTCTAGTGTTTGTCACTCAAGTGCCTCGTCCTTTCCTAAGGAATAATTTCCAGGCCAGGCGCAGTAGCTCACACCTGTAATCCCAGCACTTTGGGAGGCCAAGGAGGGTGGATCACCTGAGGTCAGGAGTTTGGGACCAGCCTGCCCAACATGGTGAAAACCCATCTCTACTAAAAACACAAAAATTAGGCGGATGTGGTGGTGATTGCCTGTAATCCCAGCTACTTGGGAGACTGAGGCACGAGAATCACTTGAACCTGGGAGGCGGAGTTTACATTGAGCTGAGATCATGCCACTGCACTCCAGCCTGGGCGACAGAGCAAGTTCTGCCTCAAAAAAAAAAAAAAAAAAGGAATTTTCCACAGAACTAAGACATAAATCTTAGGGCACATAACTTTCATCAAGGGGGAAAAGGGATTGCACTCTTGTTGAAACTCCAGCCTCCTTCTTTAGCCAATATTTAGCCAGGTGCTGTGGTTCACACCTGTAATCCCAGCACTTTGGGAGGCTGAGGCCAGAGGATAGCTGAGTCCAGGAGCTCAAGACCAACCTGGGCAATACAGAGAGCCGGTCTCTCTCTCTCTCTCTCCTCTCTCTCTCTCTCTCTCTCTCTCTCTCTCTCTCTCTCTCTCTCTGTTTATTTATTTGAGTCGGAGTCTTGCTCTTGTCACCAGGCTGGAGTGCAGTGGCGCAATCTCGTCTCACTGCAACCTCCTCCTCCCAGGTTCAAATGATTCTCCTGCCTCAGCCTCCCGAGTCGCTGGGACTACAGGCGCGCACCACCATGCCCGGCTAATTCTTTTGTATTTTCAGTAGAGATGGGGTTTCCCCATGTTGGCCAGGATGGTCTCGATCTCTTGACGTCGTGATCCACCCGCCTCGGCCTCCCAAAGTGGTGGGATTACAGGCATGAGCCACCGCGCCCGGCCACCGGTCTCTATTTTAGAAAGAAAAAAAGTGTTCTGCAGTCTCCCTAGTTCTGCGCCCTCAACCCTGATCTCCTGCCTCCTCCCACAGCCACCCTCTTGAGCTCAGCTTCAACCATGGCCCTCCCCACAGGGCTCCATCCCAAGCCAGAGCGGGTCAGCTCCCTACACAGGGCCCAGCAACACGGTGCCCAAGAAAAAGTGTTTCCAATGGGACGCACATCGCCTCTGTGGGTGCTAACTTCTCCCATGCCTGTCGGTACCTCTGTCCGGCTGTGCAGTCTCTACTGAGTGCTCAAAGTCCACTTTTGACCCCGGCCAGCATCCTCTGAGTACCGTGTGCTCGATTCCGAATCCAGCCCTGCTGGGCGACCCTTGTGCAGACGTCCCTGTGCAGCCCGGTCAGCACCCCGTGGGGACAGCTCCGATCAGCACCCGACGGCGGACAGCTCCTCCCGCGCCTCCCGCCTCGCCCGCCACCCAGCTCAGGGCCGCACCCGGGTTAGGGTTCCTGGGGGGACCCCTGGGGGCGGCGGCGCAGCTCCTGGGGCCGCCCCGGCCTCTCGCCAGAGGGAACAGCCCACGGTGCACCCGAGGCCCGCGGACCCCGGCGCTGCCTCTCCGGCCTCCCGCCCCGCGCGGGTCCTCCAGGGCGGGGCCCGACGCCCACCCGCCCTCCCCTTCCCTCCCGCCCCTCCCCGTGAAAAATCCTCCTCGCACGCCCGGTCCTTCCCCAACCAGCGCCCGGCAGTGAAGCCGCCGCCTCTCCTCCAACCAGCGTCCCCGGCCGCGTCCCTCCCCCGCCTCCCCCGCCGCCCTCCCCGCGCCGCCGCGCAGTCCGGGCGAGGTGCGCGGGGCGGGCGCCGCAGGGCGTGTCACGAGGTGAGCGGGGCGGGCCGAGCGCGGGCGCGGGGCGCGGCGAGGCTCCCGCACCCCCCGCCGCAGTCGCGGGCCTCTCCCGGAGAAGATGGCGGATCGCGCGGAGATGTTTTCTCTCTCCACCTTCCACTCGCTGTCGCCGCCGGGCTGCAGGTACCCCCTCGGCGCCCGGGCCGGGCGGGCCCTCCGCTCCCTGCGCCCCGCCGACCCCGACCCGGCCCGGACCCCCGTCCCCGCCGCCGGCGCGGACCCGGCCCCAGCCCCCTGCGGTCCTTGAGCCTCGGCTCGGGCGCCCCACCCCCACCCGCTCCCACTCCCTCCGTCTTCACCGCGCGTCCCCAGCCTCCGTGACCCCCGGCCCCGCCGGGATTCTGAGCCGCGCCCGGCCTGGACCGCTGACCTGGCAAGGGTGGAGGCCCTGGGCCGACCCTCTGCGGGGGAGGATGCGGGCGCGATGCGGGCACACCCTCCCAGCGCGGCGTGTCCCGGTGGCCTTGGCCTCCTTCAGTGGACGCCAGACCTGGCCGATAGGGCCCGGCCGGGAGAGAGTGGAAATCAAGCCCGGGGCCCTGCGGGAAGGGACTGGGGTGGGGAGGACGCTGGGCCTCTGGGTTTAGGCCTCACTCCGCCAGCGAGGGGGAGACAAACAGGCCAGACTCTCCTCCCAGAGCAGGCGCGACCCCTCCCCATCTGCCGCTGCCGGGTTGCAGCCCCCCTCCCGTGCTCTGCAAGACCTTGACCCCAGGGGCCTGGAGCTGCGAGTGGAGGGAGGAGAGGCTGCTGGCTCTCCAGGGAGGCGGGGTGGGAGGGGTGGGGGCAGGGTTGGCTGCTCTGGGCAGGCCTGGCTCAGACGGGGGAGGGGATCCACAGGAGAGCAGAGCTTGGGGGTCAAGATGATGGCAGGATGTGTTCCGGGAGCTGGGGGTTGTGGAGACCACGGGGCGGAGGAGCTGAGGCCGCGCTCTGCTCCTCCTCAAGGCCAGTTCCCAGGCAGAGAGTCCAGGTTGGTAGCTCTCTGACCCTGGTCTCCTTTCCAGGCCTCCCCAGGACATAAGCCTGGAAGAGTTTGACGACGAAGATCTGTCTGAGATCACTGATGACTGTGGCCTGGGCCTCAGCTACGACTCAGACCACTGTGAGAAGGTGGGGGAAGAGTTGGGGGCACAGATCCAGCTTAAGGGAGGGCCTCATTAGGTTCTTCTTAGCATTCACTTGGGGTTTTAGGGTGGGTGTGAGCTCAGCCTTGAACCGGGGACTCCTCTGATAGCTCCTCCCCACTTAACCCTTGAGGTTTCCTTGGTATCAACCCTCTCTTATTCCAACACATTGCAGGCCTCCACGCAAGGCCTTCCCCAGCATTCTCCCCGACACCATCAGTGGCCAGACCGGGACAGGGAGGTGCTCTTTTGCTTTGGGTGCCCTCTGTCCTCAGATCACTCCCAGAAAGATCTAACCCCTGGCAGCTGCCATCACAACCTTGTCCCATCCGCAGCCCTGTGCTCTGGTCTGCAGCTCCCATCTGTCTCTCTCATGTCTCCCCCCGCTGAAATCGTTTCTCCCCCATCTCCTGCTTCTCCTTCTCCCTGTCTCTCCACATTTCTGCTTTCATTTATTGAAGAACAGTTCTGGGCAACTGCCATGTGGCAAGTACTGGGGGCTTCTGGGGGCTGGGAGTGGAACAGGATAGCTGCCCTCCGGAGCTGCAACTTAGTAGAGGAGAAAGACTTGTAAGGGACAATGACTGCCCACGTGTCAAGGGC